AAAGAGAGGAGGACGATATCAAATGGATATACATTTATTTTCTATGCAGTGTTTTGTGAATATGCCAAAAATATGCATTGCCAACTTTGTTTTTTCTCCCACTATTTTAAATACATTTAATTTTTTTTGACGTAAAATTATTAAAAAAATCTTCATGTTCCAGTTTCTCAGTCAATCTCTTATCGGAGGGGTTCTACTGGCCCAATCTTAAGTTTTCATCATAATGTTGAGTAGATACATGTTATTCCCTTCGTATTTATTCCTTTAACTTATATTTTGATAAAGATTGCATCCCTGGCATCTTTCCTTTAACTAAAAGGGAAACTCCGCAAAAAAATGAAAAATTGATATTATGTTCATTATGTATAAAAAAGCACAAATTCATAAAAATCAAAGTTTTATTCTCCTACATAAGATATCACCATCGATTTAAATTGGGAATATCAATTCTCTACATGTAGCCATCTTGACGGCATCTCGGTTAATAAAACCACATGATAACTATAAACCACAAAGTACCCAAACAAGCAGGGACTAACGTAGTCGTAATTAAGTGTCAAAATCTCTTGTAAATCGTAGGATTGTTTTACCCGACAAGATAATGACAAATGCATACACAGTTTTATAGATACTTAAAGAAGAATTATACCAGACATGGTTTCTACCTGTCGGCAAGCTTTTTTTTAATTAACTTCATACGGAACAATTTTTTTTTTAAATAACTATAGTATGTCGTTTTGAAACTGTTTTTTTTTTACTAAGTTTATGATACAAATAAATGTAGGGGAATTATAGTTAAGATTACTTTTATAGATTCTCTCATAGTTCAAAGTCAAACTAGCGGTATTCCGTGTAAAACAAGTTTTGAAAATCTGATTTGTTCATTACGCTTTTATGTAATACATTTATTTAATTCTCAGATTTAAATCGGTCCTTCCCTAATTTGATCATCATTATGGCTAACGGAGTTATTGCCAGAGGTATTGTGAGTTGACATGACCAGGTATTCAAGCGATTTCCTGTCGGGATTAAAAACTCTTATTACACAATTACGTAATGCAGGTTCATGCATCGCTTCACTGCTGACCATATATACCACTGTGTATAGATCAGTGTATACGGCCGGTATTTTGAAACTATCAGGTGTAATATACATCATGTGTACATTTTGTTTGTCTTGAGTCCGACAGTGATACACGAGACATTTGTAAACTCATACGTGTAGTAAAATTTACTACCACTTGTTTATGAATAACATTTCTGGCGTAATGAATGATATTTATGAAAATCTAAATAATTCCAACTACAGATTAGATGAAGTAAAAATATATTTAGATATTTTCCAATGGTAAAATATGGAAAAGGTAAGTATGTACTCGTTGTCAACAATTATGGACATTTTGAAACATATGAATATTTCTAGTATTTCACAAAAATGCACACAAATGTCGATCATTGGTTAATACAGATAGAAAGTTACGGAACTATAGATAGTCGCACATTAAAACATGTATATTGAAAAAAAAAGAAACCTCCAGAACAAATCTCATTTAAATTCAGATCAATCTCTAACTTGCTTTACTTCCTCGAAGTTATGAACATAAGCATAGTATAATCACAGATTTATATTTCAATTCGATTGTTCTAGAACAGATTAAGAAATACGTCATCACAATTGTTAGTTATAGTATATAATAATGTGAACCTAGTGAAAAAGCACGTGCTATTCCGACTAAGCGTTTCTACCTATATAATTATGTTTCTGCTTCGGCGTTTCATTTGTGAAATAGAAGAAACGAAAACAATTGGTATCTAAGTGGATCTACGTTTCGATCAAGCTTCATATTGATTATAAAATATTCAAGATTTGCGACTTATATTGAATAAAAAGATGTGGGATATTATTTCCAATGACAGAGGCCAAACTATAACACAGTATAGTAGTCTCAGATTATACGCTCGGAATATACGTTTTACTATTATATTGGATCTTTTACAAATGCTATTTTAAACTATAGTCCTAAGCAAAAGCTCTGTATTTTTTTTTATCCGACAAGCTTAATTTCGGATAATCTTAAGTAAGGAGGCTATGATTTTATTCGGGTAGGTTTTGGGTGACTTGGTGTTATATCACCCGCCCCGTACTCGGTCTTTTTTCACACAAATCATATAAATTTGAGATCCTTCAGTTTGCATATAAATATCATTATTCAAATTTCGTTTAAAAACTTACAAACCAAAGACGAATAATAACGTATGGTTTAGTACAACATGCAGGCATTAACCTATCGTTGACAGAGATACGACAACGAGACATTGATAGTACAGATTCCCTAAAATCCTTCGGTCTGCATACAAAAATATATCATTATTCGAATATCCATGTTGAATTTACACCCACCAAACCACTAAAAACGTATGGCTAAGTATACATTTTTTTTTGTACCGTGCAGACATTTAGATATATTGAGGGACCACTTACAACACCTCATATAAAAATAAACACGCTCTATTCATAAACAAAAATGTGTGAATAAAAGTTTATTTGATCTCGAGCTAACTTTATCAACAGATAATTAATTAGCCTAAATTTCTATTGAATGCTGATCCTTTAATGAAAGAAATGAAAATCGGCATTCTATTTAAAAAAAAGAAATCCCCGAGAAATAATCTCCACGTGATTGCTATTTGAATTTTATTACGTATATTTTGAAATACAAGAATTCTGGTAAATTAAATTTAACACATGTGCAATGGTATCCCTCTATTAAATTTGGGGAAATATAGCATTAATTGTATTCTTGTATTCTTCATATTTGAATCTATATGTTAATTGCAAAGAACGTAACCGAAAATGTTTCCTTTTTTTAGTTTTATTCACTGCTGGAATTAAAAATTTTAATTTTATTTTCAAGGAAATCATACCATTATTTTTTTCTCATTGTCATCAGATATTTAATCTCGGTGTATTAAACTCGCCATTCCGGCTACTTTTGTTAATCCATTCAAAATGACAACATATTCACACATGTAAAAGCGTACGTTTGAGGCTTAATTGCCCTCAGGTAAAATAAACGAATAGTTTTTAGAAATGCTCATCTATTCGAGAAATAAACAATGCCTTTCCGAAATAACAGGCACATTCTATTCACACGGACTTTGCGTTGAAGACTTTAACTGATATTTTTATTTCCCAGTATTTCCTAAATCGGGTTAAAACGTCACAACCCGATGACGTATGTCAACCAAAAAAGTTACAAATACTTGATTTTCTCAGTTATCAAAGGGAATATAAATTTAAAACTCTGTGTTTTTTTATGTTATGAGGAACATATTTAGATAATAAGTAAAAAATCTCGGATTTTCCTTTAAACTTATGTCATTCAACTTAACTTTTTTTCAGTTAAAGTAACTTGCTGCTGTTAACCTAGCAACTTTTAATATCACTTAAATTACTGAAGTTTATTTAATTAACATCGGTTTATTGAATTGGCTCTAGTAGACTAAACCTTTTGCAGTTTACTTAACTCACTCCAATTTCACTCTACCTCCTTAGTTGAAAACTATTTTTTTCTATTGATCTAAACTGATCTCATATAAATGAACATCAAAAAGATAAGATTGATTCCTTACTGTTAAAAGGAAGTAATGAATATTTTAGATTTTTATTGACAAATTTTGCAATGTAGTTGATACCTTCGATCGTAATGGCAAAACATAATTGTTTATCATCATTTTGCTTTGAATAATCTTTAGTTTCTATTTCCTTATAAATCTATGGCTATTCAAATTCGGTCGAACGGAACCAGTTAACCAAACCGGTAGCAAACTGATAAAATGAATGTGTTTATCAATATGAACTGCTTACTGGCACTGCATCATGACGTTTAATTAAAAAAATCAAATAAAGAAAAAGAAATTCGAGCAACGAAAACAAATTAAGAATATAACTTTGAATTTTAATCTAAAATGACATTTCAAGGATTTTTTCTAACATAATAGAATTGAATAATTGCATTATAATTTTATTCTACAATTCAACATTTCTATTCTGATATCTAAATTTGAATTTAAATCCCATTTTCTTTTTTCTTTTTGTCGTTTCGGTGATATTTGAATAATCTTTCAAATAAATACTGTAGAAAATATACAATCAACTCGAGTCTGTTTGTAAGTTTGTCTTTTTCTTTTCGATTATGTCTTCTCTGTCTTTCTTTTATTCATTGTTTTCGATCGCCCCAGTATGCCCCGATTTATGGTATAACATCTTGCATGTCCGACATCACTACAATATGGAAGGAGTGATTTTTAAATCAGTATTATTCAATTGACAAATATACCAAAAGTTTTCTTTTGCATAGACAATTGTATAGACTTCATAAGAAAAAGATATGGAAAGTTTGTTTAGTGTCGAGTTGTAATGCGTTTTTGCCATCGCATAAGTAATTTCATAATGGGGATGCCAAGTTAACAAACATTACATATTTGAATTTTATAGCTAGTCCGCTAGCATACATTTATCAAATTGTTACTTCTTTTACTGACATTTTTGAACATATCATATCTGAGGTCAAATTAACTGCAAAAACATTCAGTACTGATTGATTTTTTTCAATGTAATGATACCAATGAAATTTATTTAGTTTTTTACACCGTAAAGTTCACTTATTTTTCTCTTCTTTTTACCACTAATCAATCTTTTCCTTTTTCCTTCTTTGTTAAACTTATCAGATTATTTTAAAAATGAAATATGAGAGAGAATTTAAATTTAAACAAACGACATTTTACATTCACATCATTTAAATTTATTTGTGATCCCCGGTTTTTAATGAATTTACTATCAGTTTTATTACAAAAATGTAGTCATTTATATCTTGCAAAAATTTATTTTTAGTTCGTGTTAAACATTTAAACCCATATAAATCAATAACAACTTGTTTATATATTGTAGTTAAGTATATATCTATTGACGTGTATACATATTGAATTACACTTCCAGTTATGGCGGATGATACGTTAAAACAAGTAGAAAAACAAGACTTACTAAAATCTCAGAAACCACTTCAGTGTAGATTCCATGACACAGAAGAATACCAGATCTTCTGTAAAGATTGTAAGGATTTTATGTGTTTTAAATGCCTAGGACAGTTACACCAAAAGCACGACCTGAGCCCATTGCGAGATTCCGAGGTAGATATAAGGACAGAAATGGAGGCTCTGATGTTTAGGGGAAAATATGTTGAACAACTTACTGCACTTAGTGATAAGCTGTCGGAGAATAAGAATAAACTTGCACAAGACGAGGAAAATTTAAATTGTGAAATTAGAACTAGTGTTGAAAAAATGAAGCAAAAAATAGACTTGTTAGAGGAAAATATATTGTCTGAGTTACGAAATACATTCAAAAGCTATCAAACAACACTACAAGAGCAAAAAACAAACGTCAATAATTTACAAACTGAAATAACTAATTTAGACATTGATAAGCTTCCCGAGTATAACCTTAACCATATTATTAATATTATGTCTGAAATGAAAGTATGTTCCTCAACGTGTGACAGAATTATAAATCATCCAAAACCGAACTTTAAACCAACTATGGAGTTTTCAATTGGGAATGTAATCCTTTCAGATGGAAATAATAAAGGTGATGTATCAGCATGGCCCTCGTGTTCTGACATGTCAATTCAAACAGATTTTTCTGAGGATTCAGACATTGAATGGTTTGATGCTGAAGACATGGAAAAAGATGATTTCATAGAAAGCTCATCCGATGAAGTAACAGATGAAATAGATGAATATCCGATTAATTTCCTATTGAAGCAGGATATAAAGCGTGTTCGAAAAATAGTTCCTATTTCTGAAAAGGATGCTTGGATCATTTCGAACCGGAAGTTGCTTAAAATTGTCGATCATTCCTTGCAAGATGATGTGTACGCAGAGATAGTTGATGATATTGTTGTTCTTAAAGATGGCTGTGTCTTGGTACTTCGTTCTGATGAATCCTTTGTAATGAAACTACTTCCAAATAGACGACTAGTTCGATTTGCAGACGTTGGTATCATGTGTACATATATAAGGTGCAATCCATATTGCATTTGCATAAAAGATGACATAGTAGTAACATATAATTGGTCTATTACAGGAGGTAAACATTACGGATATACTTGCTGCAACCATATCATATGGATGAACACAGATGGAATAGTAACTGAACGCTCGTTATTTTCTAATAGTGTTTGGAAGCGACCATGTTCCATACAAAATTTAGAATCAGGCGTGTGTGTCTTATATCGTGTAGACAATGAATCTAACTTGCATTGTATAGAGCTTTTAGAGGCAAAATCTGATAAATGTAATAAACTTTATTGTTTTAAAGGGATATATGGGTTTAATCCAGAGAAGAACTTTGAATGTAAAGGAATGTGCGTCGATAAAGCTGGCAACACATTAGTATCAGACTATCGTCACCACAGTGTGTATGTACTTGACAAAGAGTTGAAGTACAAGAAAACATTATTCGATGCAAGAAACGGACTGGACAAACCAGCGGCTATCGGTGTTTTCAATAACCATCTGTGGGTTGCCGACGGAAATCAAATATTCATTTTCAATTATGAATGTGAAGACAGTAGTTAAACTTTGTCACATCTATGGAAAAAAGTCAACTTTAAAGCTTCTGATTTGATGAACGGGTATATAGTATAATTGTTTATATAATCATGAATAATTGCAGTGTGTATATATACAATATGAATTTTGAAACACGTCAAATATTTATAATTATTTGAAAATTCATTAGTTTGAGGTCAAATGACGGTTGCTATGGATCCTATGAACAAGGTCACAAAAATGTGCCTCATTATTGTTTTATCGAGGGAAAAATACTAGTTTTCAACACAGGATAGTTTACATTATAAACGTCTATACAATTTCATAAGAAATAGCGAAAAGTCTCTTGAACCATGAAGCAGTGCACCGGTTACATTTATTTTTTTCAAAAGTTTTATATAGACCTCAGTTGGATTATATTTTTGTGCGATAACTTCCAACAATCTCAGAATGTTTTCTGCAAGTGCTCAATACTCATGATGTTTATTTTTATGATATGGCTTCGATTAATTACACATGGAATTGAAACACAACTAAACTGTCTCATTTATTTTATTTTATCTATTGCACATTGTGTACAAAAATACTTACTCATTCCACGATGACGAAACTATATAATATTGCAGTTTTAGAAAATATTTTTCTATATTGGTAGATCAAGTACTTTTAACTTGCTTTCAGTAAAAGTGATTATGCTTCTTTGTTATGTCAATTTGTTTTGTTTGACTTTCCTTTGTAAATCTCATTATTGAAATAAAGATGAAAAACTTTGCTTCTACAAAAATTAGTTGAACGGGTTAATAAGCTGGTCCGAAGTCCGAAACCTGGTCTAGTGGCAGTTCGTTATTAAGTCTAATATTTCCATACTTGAAAAGAACTGGTGGTAATGTCATTTTAGGGTAATCTCTTCTCAATTTCTTCACATGCAGTTTGGTAAGACTCGAGACAAGTAAGACCCTCACAAGCAGTAGATATACAAATGTCTATTAATCAGAGCAATATTAAATAAGGACTACTTTATTTAAATGTACATTGAGGAGTTTTCGTTAGCTTAGTTTGAATCACATATAGATTAATTGTGTTATTCCCCTTTCACCGTCTCTTAAATATCGTTGTGATATTAATGAATGTATGCAGTATTTAGAACGAAACGTACATTGAATGCATATGTACGTCTTTCATTTTAAATTTAAATGGTTCATACAATTATAATATAAAAGGTGTGCTCTAGGTCAATTACAAACAGAAGCATTCTCTTTTATTCTGGTTATGTATACAAAGAATAAGATTATTATGCATTGACTGAAACGGCAATTATTTTATATCATTTTTCGAAGATCATTAGATAAGCCTTTGGTTTTTTTTTGTCAAAATGCCAATCAAATTCGTATATTTTTATATTTATAGACATGAAGACTTCGCTTACAAAATAAAAGGTAAAATAAAATGAAATACCGAACTCCAAGGAAAATTTAAAATGGAAAGACTTTATCAAATGGCAAATTTAAAGACGAATGGAACAACTGTCATATTCCTAAATGGTGGATTGAACCTAATATTAATAGCTAGTTAAACCTATCACTTGTATGAAAGTCGCAATGAATTCCATTATATAGACAACAAATATGTGAGCAAAACAAACCGACAGAATTGGTACAAATGTCAAAAATACAATTCATTCATAATGTCAGTGATATAATTCAACCAACAGTATAAATATCGAGATTGTCTTAAATATATCAATAAGTTAATTTTACTAGAACTTCGGATAACACTGAAACACCTTGAAAAATATTGGCCTAAGCTAGCGATACTGTAACAGCCCATTAATTTGATGCTCACAAACTTTTAGGAATTTGTATTCTCATATGCTTTATCGTTTATTGTTGGCGTTTGTTTTTGTAGCAGTTCAATGTTTCTGTTGTTCCGTTTTTTTCCTCTTATAGTTGATGTGTTTCCCTCAGTTTTGGTTTGTGACCCGGATTTGTTTCAGTAAACTCGATTTATGACTATTGAACAGCGGTATACTACTATTGCCTTTATTTACCAAGCTCTAATCGTAGCCAATGATTTCTTGTTTACGTTTTATTGGAATTGAAGGAGACTGTCAATGAGACAACAAATCAATGCAAAAATAGCCAAAAGACATTGAGGTCAACGTACATTTTCTTCTAAACTAGACAAGTGTCTTTTCTACGTATGTTCATATGTACATGGATTTAAAAAAAAAACATCCAACCTTTGTTTCTAGGGTGGGAACTATCCTGATTTTTGTTTACGAGTAAGCTACTTAAAATCATCCCAATGTATGCATACAGAAATGGATTAAGGTGACCAAAAATTGTTTCTCTTTATTTGATAACACATTTAGCTCCTTTTGTTCAATAATGGGAAAATAATAATGACCGATTTTGTGTTATTAAACTTCCGAACATGCTTACACTTTCGCATTATATCGTTCAAGATTTCTCCTCATAAATCTTGACACACATATAACATTTCATTACATATAATTAGCTTTCGAATAAAAAAAAATATCGATATGACAAATTGTAGATTTAACTCCTTCACACTACCACCATAAACAGATCCATAAAATACTGACCTGGTCAGGCTTTATACATTGATGTGGTTGTTCGTTCCAATATTTAAGATAGTTGTTGATCTTGTATCTTACTATGTATATATGTTTCTCATGTTTCCGTTTCTATTCATTTTAATACAATTTAAATATAAGAAGATGTGTTATCATTGAAATTGAGACAAATCTCTACAAGAGACCACATGAGGTAAAGGTAGCATCTATATGTCACCATACGGACTTCAACGATGAGCAAAACCCATACCGCATATCAAAGTTTGACATGACATCTACCGTTTGTTTTCCTCTTCAAGCAAATTATTTTTCCTCTTCAATTTCTGATTACAAAAAGAGTTTAAGATGGTGAATAATATAACAGTAGTGTTGACGCCATATCTATTACTTCTCTCAATCTATAATGAGACATGTGCTATTTAAAGAAAATTACTTTCATTTCTCTCCGAACTCTTTATTTATTATTGGAATATAAAGAGTTAGAATCCATATAGTTAAGTGTTAGGTCAGGCTATGGCAGAGTTATTGCCGTTAAATGAAATAACGTTTGCTATAGAAATCGATTTTCTGACACTCAAAAGACCGATGGGTTTTTGTTGTCTAGCAGCATATAGGAATCTTAAGATTGAGGTGCAATTAGATTCAGTGTCGTGCCAAATTGAGTTATAAAACAAGTGTAGTGAGTCACAATTACTGTTTTTAGCTTTTGGTGAATTCTCCCCTGTCAATTTATGTTATCAAATTTATCTATAATTTGTTATAGTTTATGATATAATTTTAGAGATACGTTGCATATACCGCTTTCGTTAGAATCTCGTTATTTCTTCTTACAGACTAGTTTCTGTGATGATATTCCTATTTGTGTATATTAAAGTTAAAGTTATTTCGTTTTCGTTTTGACATAAAGTATGATGCAGTGTGTAATGGAAAGAAGAACAAGCCGAAATTTATCGATTTAATCGTATGTATATCTTTTACTTTTATTGACGAATGTGTTTGTTGTTTAACTTTATCATATAGATGGTAAAATCCATTGTTTTAGTTCTAATGTTTTAGTTTTATTTCAAAAATTTGATTTACAACAATAAATTTGTCATCTATAAATGTATCTGTAAGTACTCATTCTGTGGTCTCATGGAATTATGCCCTAAGTTTCTTCGTCTCCAAATAGGATTCAATCCCTAGTCGGGACAGACGAAATCTTCTTCAACTTATTTCGGCTACTTTTCCAAAGAGAAGAGTAGCTGTACATATTTTTATATAAAACGTAGCAAAGATTGTTATTGCCATTTAATAGATTAATGGATTTTCTTGTTGACTGGTATTTAGTGAACTAAAAGTCCCGAGCGTGTTAGACCTAAGTTAACACCACCAACAATAAACATGGTCATAGTGGTAGCAAAAAATTGTCTCTCAGTAAATCAATGTGTTTTTATGTTGACTGAGACATAATGACCTAGCCCTTAAAATATAGTACAGATGTTGTACTAAGTCAGCATGTACATACAGATGGTGGTACTAACGTGTTATTATCCAGAACATGCATGTATTACTTGCATCTAGACATATGCATCGCTCGGTCAATCTATTGGTTTATTCCTTTTAACATTTACAAAGTCGCGTCTAAAAAAGAGAGATCAATTTGGAATTTATCATCAACTTTTCTTTGTAAGGATTCAATGCTTCTGATATCATGTGACTCACTCATCATACCCTTCGGGAGGGTAAAGTCAATGAAATTTTAAACATCTTCAATTAATCTGATGTTTTATACAATTTTCACCTATTACTGACAATAAAGCATTGACCTTGCAATGTCACTCAACTGCATGATACTATCGAAAAAAGAGAATATGAATGGGATTTAATTCATTTTATGGGTTTAAATCATGTATTATCACCTTACCACACTATCTTGTATGACAATCACAGTTGTGTAATATTATACTTTTATATTACAATATTGAATGAAATTATAAGTAATAATTTTTGTAACATAGAGAAGTATTTTGGCTTTCGAGGTCATCGAGGTTTTTACGTTTAATTTATATTTTAATATTGAAATGTAATTGTGACGTTTTGTAGCATATGTTGCTGTAAGCAAATTTTTTTTTTTTAAAAAGCACTTAAAATGTCTCCAAAAAAACTTTTTGATCGAATTATCCTGTTTCAATAATTCTTTTCATCAATTAAACAGTAATTTTTATTCTTTAATTTTAAAGACAAATGTTTGATATTAATTTCATTCTTTATAAACATCAATTACAAATTATTCACTTCAATCCCTAATGCTATAACCGAAAAAAATAGGTAGCATATAGTCGTCGCTTGGTCCGTCTGTCTGTTTATCCGACACGCATGCTTTTCTGGTGGTAAATTGCGTTTAGCCTAACTGATTAAAAAAAGGCCTGGATTCTGATGTAAATAAATCACAATTAAAGGTCATCGTTGCTAAAAGTAAAATTTATTAAATGGTTTACAGATGATTATACTTCAGTTTCTCTTTGAATGAAACTTATAGAAATGAAAGATATAGGGAAGAAATGGACGCCTATTGATTCTATGGTCAAATTTTTAAGACTACTCTAACTTAAAATGTTAATATTCGAAAAAAAGTTGGTTTCTTGAAAAGTAACATATAAATTTATTTAGCAATGTTATTGGCCGTGTGCCCACGAACCAGGTGGGTTTGCATGGGTCAAAGGAACCCATGCCCATTTTTCTTTTAAATTAAATGCTCTAAATAAACTCATCATAGATACCGGGATAAAAAAAGAGCTTTCTGTATAGTAAGGATCTGGAGGAATGGTTAACAATTTTGTTTTCAGAAAACCAGACTTTTTATACTTCCTGGATCATTTAAAAAAGAGTATAGTCCTTGCTTAGTCAGATTTAAGAAGAATATTCAAATATGGATTGCAACACATTTAAACAGATAAAAAACAGCATTGATGATACAAATTTTATATTGTCCATCCAACCTAACACCTCAGGGTGCGGGATTTCGCTGTGTCGAAGACCTATTGGTGCTTTGGGCTGTTTTCTGCTCTTTGATTTGGGTTGCTGTTTCGTGACACATTCCCCATTTCCTTCTCAATTTCTAAACTTTTCATAACATGAAAGACTATGCATGGCACTTGATTTTTTCTTACTAAATGTGCGGTGTAGAAAGCATCTGTTGAAAGTGACAACTTTCTTCCTATGCGATGAGGAAACCGTCATGTAACTTTTTGTCTAAAAAATAAAAGATGTTGGTGTTTACGTCAGTATGTCTCAACAACTCAAGGACATAGATAACCAAAAGAGATCTAGACATGAGTTTATGCATTAACCCTCAGAAAAGTCGGTGTAAACCAAATTTTTAGATTTTAAATTGGTCTTTGAATTTCCATTTCTTATCTAATTTGTATATTTGTTAGCCAAATATATCTCAAAATATGTATTCCAATTTTCAATATTTAAAACAGTAGTAAAATTATATACAAGCCGTACTCAATATAAACAAAACTAAGTCTTTATTGTCAAAAATAGTGGGAATTCAAGATAGTTGAACCGCAGGTACGGCATACATCTGTAGTTTACAGTTTTTGCAGTTCTGATTGCTTATAAATATATAATGCAAGACGCCAGATAACTATATATATATATACATTTATTCATCAGGGCCTCTGTATCATTATACATAAGCATTTTTTTTTAATAAAACAGCTGATACACTATCCCGAGGCCTAAATACGCAAACTATCAAATTAATTCATTTGAAAATGCAGTTTGAATTATTTAAATTTATATTTATTGTAAATCAACTCAAACAATTCCAAACACATACGTCAAGTTAATATGTTTTCAGCAACAATATTTAATGCAGCATAAAATATTTACAATTTAAAGTTGAAATGATTTAAATTTTGATATACGATGTAACAGATATGAATGAATTTAGAACGCAGTATCCAAAATACGGTAAGTATCTATTTTTATTGTTTGCATGATTTCCTTTCTCCGCATTAGTTAAGGTTAATGTTCTTAGTGTAAATGTTGACAATTATTACGCGAGATAAGAATGAACAAAGAAATATGCACATCAACATATTTTTCTTGGTTATTAGTTACATAAACAAT